AAAAAGTAAAAAAACAGACTAGCAAAGCTACTTCTGAAAGTACAGTTTGTCTAAACAGTTACTTAAGTAACTGAGCAAATGTTGCTAGTTACTACCGTATGTATCTCTGACAGTTCAACAACCAGCTTTGATGTGTTTAGGAACTGTGTCCAGCTGAAATACCCAACTACATCCTAATGTCAGGCCTAGATTGTTAAGTTTAAGAATTTTGTGGTAATCCTCCTGCAAAAAGACCCCTAGCCTAACTCTGCCACCACCATGCTTCACAGTCGATAGAGGTACATTTGGTTTAAAGGCCTCACCTCGCTTCCCCCAAACATACATCTTGTTTTTTTTGTTTTTTTTTTTTGTCTCATCAAAACAGACATTTGGCATATCCATGGAAAGCTTTATTTAAGTTCAGCTTGACTTTTTCATTTTGCAACAGGGGCTCTTCATTTACTGCTTTACCATGGATAATGGTGCATCAAGGTTTATCATAGAATAGTGCCTCTAAATTTTTTTGGTTGTCCTTAAATGAGTTACCAGTGTGGTCTGAAGCTATAGTTTGAATTAGAAAGGATAATGCAGAAATTATTTTTCCAGAGAGCTTAACACCTACAGACCTTGTTGATAAGAACAGTAACCTGCATGGCTTCTTTGCAACTTTCTAGGGCACTTTATTCAAATGTTATTGTCTAAACATTTTAGACATTTAGTCATATTTTGAACCTATAGGATTAAAGCAAATTCCCTATAAAATTAAACATGTATACCTATATATGGTTCTAACACTAATATAAAAAAAATATATATTCTCAAACATGCTCAGTTTTTTTCTATTTCTTTAACTCACATGACACATTCTCTATAGCTCAGGTGCTCTCCAGATCCCCTGGTCAACTGGGTTTATATTCAACCTGGGTTGAATATAATCTTTTAAATATGTTTGACAGGAGAGCAAAGATAGGAAGAAAAAAAAACTTAATTTGAGATGGTTTGTTTGCTCTCCTGGTTCCATAGGAGCTCAGGCTGTCAGTCAGAGCCATTTAGCAGCACTCTGACAGGATGACTGAGTCAATCCAGCCTGCTAATCACACTCCCCACACCTCTCCTGTCACCGCCGGCTGTATTTAGAGGGATGAAAGCTCCTACTTCCTCAAAAGGCGACTCATAAATTATAGCATTGGAGGGTTTTGTTTTTTATGTATTCTGCGTTTGGAATATAAAATATAGAGGAAGGAATGGGGCTGCTTCTGTGAAGGGAAAGGGGGGAATTGAGACAACATGATGATCTATAGGGACAGGTAGTTTTATGGTTTGATCAAGTTGTGGAGATTTTTCTGAGCAATGCTGCCATCTATTGAGCAATTTTACAACCCCAGCTACACAAGGAACAAGAAGGAGGAAAATGGATGCTGCTTTGCCTTCTTCATTTTCAAAGTCTTGTAGATGGAGACTTGTGGTTGATTTTAGTTAATTTAAATCATTTTTACTAAAATACGTTTGAGGATTTTCTTTAAATAGACTTAAGAATCCCATTATTAATATTTTACCAGTGAAACCTCACAAGATAACAGATACCATATATACCGACCCTCAATATAGGACATTAGCCTAAAGAGAGAGATGCCTGGAATAAGTTGCTGAAAGGGGGATCTTCCAAATAAAGGGCAAAGATCAGGAGAAGTCTGATTGCTTTCCTCCTTTTTTTTTTGAAGCAAATCCCCTTCATAAGGTAGCCTGGGCCAGACTAAACTCACAAGAGGTTGGTTTCCCTTGAGCCTTGATGATATATATAAGAACACTGTACCAAACATACAATGAGATGCTACTTAATAGAAAAATATCTAAATATATAGGAGAAAATACTAAATTTCATCAGATTCAATCATACAATAGAATTTAGGAATAAAAAAAGAAGAAAATGTAAAGTGAGGAATGATGTAGAGCAATATAATCCTTTTTAAGCCCCACTCCTGGAACTTTTCTAAAACCACTCTACTAAAGTATTCCATTATTTAAAATGCTGCTTGGGGTTGGGTAAAATGCACCGATGGCATTAAAGTTTAATGTACTCATTGTAAAGCATGTCCCCTCTAACTATTAAGTGATTTAAAATTATATTACTCATGCATTACACTGGAGGGAGGGTGTCACTCCTGCAATATAACAAGGTTGTATTGTTCACCTTTATGCACCATAACATAGTTACCAGAGATTTTCATTAAATGTCTGCAACAAGCTTCTATTGATATATGACATGATTAGTTTATAGTTGCACTCTAACTGAAAGCTTTTTGTTTTTTATTTCCCCGTTACAGAACTGGATTTAAAAGTGCTTGGCATCAATCAAACACTTTCTTATGCAGGGTGTCCTTTCAAATGTGAAAATGATATAGCATTTTCCTTAACCCACTTGACACCATTAAGGAATGCAGACATTTTAGTGGTCAGTTAGTTCAAAAGTACACTGTAAATAACAATAATCAAATACTGGCTAAAATCCTTTTCTTTTGTAGTAAAAGCAGCAGTGGTGATTTCTCATTGAATACTAGGGAGGCTAAACCTCTGCTGTTAATATCGTAAAATTATTGGTAAAATATGCATTGGCATAATTCATAAATTTATTAATTAAACTATATTAAATATGTGCTACAATGTGCCTGATTTAATGAGTATGCTGCACATTAATCAGCTGTTTATTCCACCTTCAGATGCAATCTTCCGTCTGCTTTGGAGCAGCAGGATGCTGCCTTTCAGCCTCTATGAGAAATTCCTGTTGAGGTTTAAGCCTCGGTCTATTGAGGTAAGCAGCAAGAAAGTAGATTCCTGGTTGGATGAGAAACCAAAATATGGCACTTCCAGTGAAGCTAAAATTCTTAGGGGCTGAACCCCAACTGCTCCCTCCCTGCTCCAGTTGCATGTGTGGAAGGTGCCTTGATTGAAGGTGTGTGTGTGTGGTGGTGGTGGGGGGGTTAAAAGTGAATGGGACGGCTACTTCCCTCCAACCAAAGGAAGAAGTCGTTGCTAAGGCAACAAAGTGACGCTCCGGCTGTAGCCCTGAGGTAAAAACATAAAATAAGACATTTGCCCTTTTCTTAAAACAAATGTATATGGTCCAATAAAACTATTTCAAAGAGGACATTCCCTTTTGGAATTAATTTGGTTTTTTTTTCTTATACCTAACTTGTGATTTTTCATTAGTGTTATAAAAAAAACCGGTGGACTTACACGTTTCCTCCGCCATCAAACCACTGTTACACCTGCTGCTAATTCCCAGCGAGCCTGCGAATTTGCAGACCACAAGCACTGCTGTTGGTGGAAGCTGTTTCAAGCCCCTGTTTCAGAGAGCAGCAGCCGTCACTGAGGAGGAGGCAAAAGGCATCCTCCAAACACTCTAAGGGGTCACAGCAAACACATGGAAGAACACTCTGGTCATTCAGAGCAATATGTCAATTGTTTTGTCTCTTTACAAAATAGTTTGTATAGAACACAGACTAACACCACTTTTCTTAAAACACACTGTCCCTTAGGTGTTCTATTCGACACTCAACTGGTAAATTTGAAGAAATATCGGGGCCCTTTCTTGACTCATTCTAAAACTTACAATAATGCTCCGGATTCAAAAGGTTTATTAGATTTAATAAAATGTGTTCTGCCTCAATCAGGGATAGGAAAGTAGTGCATTTACCTCTTGGTAGTGACCTGGGTGGGCTAAATGGGATTTTTTTTTTGTAAGGATTGATTTTCTGTATATAATTTTATATCTATCTTTGCTGGATCAATATATTTTTTTGTATTTACAAACTGTATGTATAAAAGGAAAACTCAATAAAAAGACAGTGATAAAAAAAAAAACACTGTCCCCATTTATTGAAACATGGTGGTGACGGTGTCATGCTTTGTGAACAGATCTGGGGTATGTTGGAAGTAATGGGAGGAATGACAGAGCTAATGGTTTGAGGCTATTGTATAACTAAGTCAGATTTTCCAGGTTCCCACAAAAGGAGCCCTTAAATTTCTGACCGGTGAAGATGTTCCCTCACCAAACATTTCACTGTTTTTATGTCATGTGTGCAAATTCTTGAAAGTTGTTGATGCTGGAGTCTAAATACTATATACGGTATATATATCTTTTTATGAACATGCTACCCTACTGTTGGAACAAATTGAGGAAGGAAACATATCTCATCCGGTATTTCTAACATCAAAGGGTAACTAAGGAAACTATTCAAAGCCAAAACCCCCTAATTCTAAGACAAATTGAATGCAGAATGAATGATTATCCAAGAGGAAACACGGTTATAGTGATGGTTTACTTTCCAGCAGAATTGAATCCTTACCTGCAGTGTAAATATATCAGAAGTTAAGACCTGAAAACTCTACAGGTCCTGCCCTTTCAGTCTGAGCTTAAGCTATTGGCAAAGAATGGGCAAAACATAACAGAGATACTGGTGTTTGTTACAAAACATTTCAAATCATTTTTGTGGACTGAAAATCTCCCTGCTTGGGTCTTGCAAAATTGATTTATTGCTGTTTCCAATTACTTTGGAACAGGAGTCACAAGGAGCATGGGCCTTCTCCATAGCAAATTATATCCTTTTATTCTAATTAGCCTCAATAACCAGAGTAAACAGCTATTTCATCTCAATCTCTGTTGCGTTTTTATTGTATATGAGGACATCATCTTGTTTTCAGTATCGAGCATTGCAGAGTCCAGATGCATATTTAACAAAAGGCTTTAGAAAATTATTTAGATTCCATCATTATGAGATGGTTTACTGTCCTGCCAGTCTTAGCTATTGCATAAGGAAGTTCCTAACCCAACGTTTTACTCCTAATCATCCCCGTAATCTCTTCAGAAGTCTGTATTTTGAAATTTATACTTTTATTTTTTAATCTAGACATGCAGTATATCCTATATTTGGGCAGTATTTCATAGTGTAAGTGGAAATGTTTTGGTTTCAGGCAACAACAAAAAAAAAAAAAAAACGACAATGAAGGCAGGTATTCTGTCAAAGTTGTTTTAATAGGCGTCACATAAAGGAAAAGGCTCCCACTGTTTAAATCCTCAGTCCTATGTGGGTGCAAGATAAATCCCCCCCCTCACCCTCATCTGCACCACCTTCAAATGCTGACAATTTGTCAACACAAATTCATCACAGTGTCAAGTTTTTTTTCACGAGTTCGGCATCAGTTCAGGGGGAAAAAGGTTCTATTCACTGTTACAGGAGTCTAATCCCGCAGCGTAGAACTTATTTCCTCAGTCTTGAAGTGAATTCACCAGCATGTTGCCAGGGTGGGACGAAGGCCTCCGAGTGAGGGGGGATTGTATCAGCAAGTCTTCCTGTGGTTTACCTGAGCTCAGAGTGATGGCCGCTTCTGCTCCTACCTGCCTGTGTTGTAAAAGGGAACCTGCAGTGACAGGCTAGCAAGCATACAGCCCCACCAGTTAGGCGAGAGGATTTGAAAAACATTTCCTAATACCAAACGCTTCCTTAATAAAAATACACCTGAATTCTCTTTATGTACAACGGGGGAAAAAAAAAACATATTCACTTGCATATTCAAGACTCATTTTAATATTAGACTTTCTGTATAAGAAATATCACTATTTTATGAAATGAAAAATCTTTGTACTAGAGTATTAATGTTAATTTCACCCATAAATCATTGAAGTACAATATTTACATATAATACAGAGCCAGTTTAATCTGAAACAATAATAAAATAAATGTTCAATAGATACAAAGTTTTTTTTTTTTTATTCATCTTAACCATGTCAGATTCCTGACACACTCCAAAAATGTAAAGCCATTCTCCTCTAATAAACTACTAAGTGCAAAGAATTTGTTTTCCATATAAAAAAACGGATTGCAGCATCTAATATTGAGACGGAGAACGACTCTAAGCCGCTTTTTTTTTTTCTCTCCAAGTGCTTTGAAAACAGAGATGTGGAAAAGTTACCCTTGCGTTCTGCCATCGCAAATTCAAAACTGGGAAATTATTGTAATATGAAAAATGTGCAAAATTCACTCAGTGTGATACCTCAGATTTTTATATTTCTAAGGAGAAGAACAAGAACTAGTTTCAGGGATATGTTGCAGCCTCTTCAAATATTCCTGTATCTTATTCCCTTTTATCTTGGAATACATCAATCAAACAAGGAACTGAGCTAAACTCATACAAAAAGGTTGGGTTGAGGCATCATCAATTCACTGTCTAGTCGTTCAACATCTATAGGCACAAAAGATTGGGTTTTAGAGTTTGTTAGTTTCAGACTAGACAATTTGATATAACCAAAGATGCAACAATGAGCCAGTCAAACACTCTAAAAAAAAAAAAAAAACTATAAACCCCAACCAGCATCAGCTTCCTTTACATGAGAGCAGCTTTGGGGTAAGTGTAGTGATAAGAATGACACAGATACAGGAAGCCAAGTGACAGTGCGTGAAGGGCCACTCCATGGCCTTGATCATCCCCGTCTCTGCAGCATGGATCCACCATTAGCAGCACCGGCCTGCCTCTATACCACTGTTCCACTGGGGGAGTTGGCCGGGTTGTTTTGAGATGATAATCCCTGCAGAGAAATAGACCGTTATTCAAATGAAAAACTGTGCAGTTAAGCGACTGTTGTCCAACTCATCCCTGTGTTTTTACATATGCTTTGGGTCTCTGCAGACTTTGATGAAATACTGAATACTTATTTAACCATCTGAATCAGCAGGTGTTGATCCAATACTAGCTGAAAACCAGCCGTCAGGGATTGGAGCCGGAAATTATTGAATAAAACCATGAGATTTACAGTCTGGCTACAGAGATGTGCAATTAAGGTGTTAGGGAAATTATAAGAGCTGATTGTTGCAGAGTAATGGGTAAAAACAGTGTTTTCCAACCTTTTTTTTTTTACGTGTGTGCCCCTTTGGGCATTTTGTCTTACCATGAGTACACCTCTCAGTCAAAATGATTGATGATTATCCAAAATTTGGAACGTACAATAACAGATTATAAAATATATATATTTTACTTAATCTTTTAATTTGTGCTTTTAATTGTTAGGCACTTTATTCCAACTAAAGAAAAAACATAAATATGTTAGTAAGGAATCAAAATTCATACAAAATAAAATCATAATATACACTAACCCTGTATTTATAAAAATCTTATAATCACATTTAAACTTGATGAATTTGGAAGAAAATACAGAACAAAAATTATTAGATTTACTTTGTTTTCATCAAGACATCTGAGCTGCTTTGAGGAGCTCCGATAGCTCAGTGTGAAAAACAGCCGATCCCAGGCAGTTCCCTACATTCAGTCTGTCTCTCTGCTTGGTTTTGATATGTGTCAAAGCTGAAGGTGAACTCAAACATACAAGAAAAACTTACTTTTAGGTTGATAAAAGCTCACAAAACAAAGCAGATCCCAGCCCTATTTTATTTTACTACCTGAGAAATAAAATATTTTCATGTACCCCCTGCAAAGCACTCGAAGACCACTAGGGGTTGGGAATCACTGGGTTAGAAGACAGGACCAGGGCACACGTAGCCTTTGTTCACCAATAGAAAATAGAGATATGCTAACATGAGAAATTACCTAAAGCTTAAAGGTAGAGTGGAGGATTTCCAAGAATTTTGGAAAGACCCACCCTCTCCACTTCTTATAACTGCTCAGTCAAATTCCCCAGAGAATTTAATGGATTATTGGCAAGAGCTGATAGATGCTATAAAAGCAGCCTGGACTTCCTTAAAACTCCTCTAGGTTCACAAGCTCATGCTATAAAGATGATCAGCCTAACTTTATCAATATCAGAAATGAACACTTAAAATACATGATTCTGTGTGTAATGAATCAACATATTATCGGTTTCACTTTTGGAAACTGAATTTCCCTGAGATGCAATGTACAGATATTCAAATTTGCTAATATGCAACATTCTGTTTGTTTCTACTGGTAACTCTGGAGGAGCACAAGCATTAAAGGTATTGTGGAGGGTTTTCACAAATTTTTGAAAAGATCTGCCCTCTTAACTTCACAAAAAAAAAGCACATGCACAACCCAGTACTCACTCCATATAGAGAACGGCTATTAAACGCGTGCAAGAGCGTGCATGAGTCCATTTCTCCTCGTGCATGCTCTGTTTAAAAGTTGCTGTTTGCATCGCTCATACAAGCTTACTTTTCCAAAAGAAATTAGGAGGATCACTTATTTTAAAGAACATCCTCCACATTAAAACACATTAAAAGAACATCCTCCACTATACCTTACAAAGTATAGTACAAAAAATGAATCAAATCAGCCAGGAAGTTTTTAATAACTGAATTTCCAACAATAAACTTTTGCTTGTTTCATAAAAAAAAAAAATAATTATATCTTACTGCATGTATAGATTCAATGCTGATAAATTAGGACGACTGACAGCAAATTTAAACCAACAGTAGTCTAGTGTTAAGTAAAATAAGCAGTGTAGACTCACCACTTTGCCAGGCCTTGCCCATGTGCAAATAAAACCCTCCTGACAAGCTGTAACCAGACAGTCCTCCAGGAAGATTAACACAGTCAGTCTCTCGTGGGCGATCTTTTTGCACACCAGCGGCTCTAGGAGGGGAACTTCCTCCATGCGTGGACACAGCATGGTGCCCAGAGTTTTGGCAGCCTCAGCTTTTGCCGTCCGTGAGGAGCTAAGCTGGTTGAGCTTGTCGCTACTCTTGCTGCTGATGTGACCCATGCTGTGGTTTCTCTTGTGGTCCTTCTCGTGGCGCTCCTTCCGTGAGTCGTGCAGAGACAGCGTTGCGAACTTGGTGGCGATGAACGTGCTGTCAATGATGCTGTTGCCCTTACTGCTGCCGCTGCTGCAGCTGCTCCCCGTGTGGCTGTTGGGGGTGCTGCCTCCGGCTGGGTTGGTGGCCTGAGGCAGGCTGTTGGAGCGGGGCAGGGTGTCGGGGAGGGAATTAGCTGGGTTGCTGCTGACGCAACTATTGCTCACATTGTCTTTACCATTTGATCCAGTGGCATTGGTGGAGGAGGTGATGGATACAGTGGTCACCGTTTGTCCAGTGGCTGTAGGGCTTGTGGCACTCATCACATTAGTGTGAGTCCTTGTGCGAGACAAAGGGAGGTGAGGGAAAAGGATGTCCTCTGTAAGATCCCACAGACACAGCTGAGTATCCTGCCCAACTGAGCCAAATCTGTACGTCACGCTGACCGGCCTACTTTCTGTGGAGTTTCTCTTAGATAGCCTAGAGTGAGAGCTGTTGGCTCTCTCTCTGCCAGCTCCGAAATGAATCTGCTCATGGAAGTCCTCATCACTCCCACTGAACTCAGCAGGCAGCTCACCGTCCTCAACACTGGTGGTGCAGTGGTCAAACGCCACCACGCTCACCCACGACTTGTGACCATGTCCCCGTGCGATCACTCTGCAGTCCGAAAACGACCACACAGTCACCAGGTCGTCCTCTCCTCCCGCCACAATATACCGCCCGTCAGGGCTCCAGCACACACACAGTAAGCCTCCAAAGTAGCTCTTCATTGTTCCGTGGAGCTCCGCAGCATCGAAACCAAACACCCGCAGGAAGCCGTCCTGGCTAGCGCAAGCCAGAAACTTGCCATCCGGAGAGAAGGCGAACTCATTCAGCGCCCCCTCACCCACTGTCCAGCGCAGCAGCGGGTTCCGGGCTGACTTGCTCTTGCAGGTGTGCACGGCATAGTTTTCCCCCTGCTTGAGGAGCTGGTAGTGAGGTGCGGTGGTGCCGCAGGTGTTTTCCACGTTGTACAGGTACATGCTCCCGCTGGAGTGAGCCACCAGGAACAGGCTCTCTGAACCAGGAACCCATCGTACACACGTCACCCTCGACTTGTCAATAAGTCTCTAGAAGGACACGTAAAATGGCAGAAGAGTTAGTCTCTGATTGGTTGGTTTAAAAAATGACATTCATATTTATGTAAATCTCAAAGCTTTTTATGAGACAAAAATTACATTGAAGTGTAATTTCTTTAATGAAAATATATAATGAACTATTTCCAAAATATGAGCTGTGTACTGACTTTATACATCCAGCATGTTCTCAGTGCCTTGGTGTTAAATCATAAACATGTTAACCTACCTCCTCATTGAAGAGTTTGCTGGTTTCCTTCTTGATTGGATCAATCAGCTGCACCTGGCCAGCTGAAAAGCCCACCAACAGGGAGACGCTCTCTGCTGTGGCTGTAAGGGGGTTGAAGTCGTGACACGTCGGCTGCGTGCCTTTGTATATCCTCTTGTCTATGGGTTTACTGAGGTCCGCAGCCTAAGATGAGAAGAAATACACTTAGATCATTTGAACTTGATTTATTCAAAAGCAGGCTTTGTTTGCACCCTTTTCACAACAGTGGATGTGTCTCCACTTGTTGTTTAGATCCACGCATTGTGCAACCCACTGGTAGACTGGCGGCCTTTTTAGTTAACCTCTATGCAGCAACGTTTAGATTCTCCTTTAAGTTTCTGCTGACATTTGATCGAGAAAGAATTTGTAAACATGAGGACATTAAAATATATAAATCTGAAAAAGCTACAACTAGAAGAGTAAACTCAAAAACGCTTTAGCTTTCAAGGAGGCCTCATTGGTTAAACGAGAGCTTCCTGAACTTGTCCGTAATGCAGCTTCCCCCGAACAGCATTGGCTTCAGGCAAGGAAGCCACTTTGGAAGACTACAAAATATTGAAGAAAACTTTACTTTTTTATTTTCTTGTTTGTTTGTTCCTTTTATCCCTGTTTATTATCATTACAGTGCTATCAGATTGTGTGTGTCATATCATGCTCTATGTTTTAAGTAAGATGCACATGCTAACCAGATCTGTCATGTGTAAATTCCTGATTAAAAGAAAGAGTTCAAAGTCCTCTTTTAGATTCTCCTGTTTTGCTTTTTAACATATGTTATTAAAAGTGATATTTAATAATAATAATGTTATATACACTTATATATAATAGTTATTGATAAAAAAAAATATATTAAAAAACTAAAAATATTTTTTGGGGAAGATTTTTCCTTCAATTTCCTGAGGGTCACCTAGTGCCCCCTAGTGGCCTCCACTTTAATCACTACTGAGTCAGACAGCTAACCACTTTAGCCCTCTTTAAATGTCACACATTTAAATCAGTCTAAACAGATTTGTAGGATGGATATAAATAATAGTAACAAAAAAACATCCCCTGAGAAGATTCAGATTACAATGCACCTTTTTTCAAACATCAAATATCCAGGTATTTAAAAAAATAAATAACTGCTACAAAAATGTCCTAAAATATTGATAACAATGGCAAATTATTTTGTCAAATACCATAAAAGTTTTATAAGTTATTTTTTTAAACTTTTCTCCTCAAATCTTTAAAAATATTGGAACCGCTAAATACATCAGATCAAATAGCAATGCATGCATTAATACACACACAAGGTGTATCTTGATGTGGTCCACACATCACACACACAAAAAAAACATAAGCTACTACAACATTGATTTCCCTTAGGGTCAAAAGTGTTTTGGAATTGATCATGAAAACAGTATAAGATTTTGAAATTAATATACTAACATCAAAGATGATAGGTATAGAATTCATGCTCTTTTCAGAACTAGATTTTGCATTATATGGGATAAAGAGAAAATTATGTATCTCTGCAAGTCATCAAGGAGTCTTCAGTGAAATAAAAGATAAATAACAATTTTAATAAAAACCTATCAAATAATGAATTAATGTGGATATTAGTGCTTTTAAATAATAATTTAATGCAGAATGTTTATTGATACAAGTAGGTAAGTAATGACAATGGAAAAGATTTACACCCAGGAACTCGAAACTGAGTTTTATCCATTATACCTTTTATCTAGAAATTACAGATGTTTATATATATGTGTCTATTTGTTAGCAAAGGCTGTAGGAAAGTATAGTTTGTCTTAATTTAGAAAATATGGATGTTTTGCTCGTAAATTTTCCTGTTGGAACAGTGTAGATCAGGGGTCTTCAACGTTTTCCAGGCCAAGGACCCCAAACTGATGGTGAGATGGAGCGGGGACCCCCCAATTGTATAAATTGTATGAAATTGTGTTATATCAAACTGGTCCTATAGTCACTCATTTACAGATGGATTAATGTAACGAAAGTAATTTGACCCTGGGATTATTAAAGTATTTCTGATTCTGATTCCTGGATAATGGGACAGGTGTGAATGAAACAGTGCCAACCTTTAAAAGAGCTCCTGTGTGTCGCTCAATATGTGCATTACTACAATGTGTTGAATTCATGTTAATGTGTATTTAAAGACACTTCAATTAGTTGACATAATTGCAGAGGGGAATATAAAAAAAATGAAAAAGGCCAATCAAACAAAACTTTCGCAACCCCCATGCAGTACCTCCATGAACCCCAGTGTTTCCCATTAATATTATATCAAAGTAACGTCTTCCTATGGGCAACAACTTGAAGGCACAAACTAAACTGTTCATTATTTATTCTTTATGGTACACCAGCATTCATAACATGCAGGCGAATCACTGTCCCCCAGACATCCGCGGTTATATTTTTTATATTTATATATTTTTTAAAACAAAGCGGTGCATGTATGACGTCATCCGCGCGCCGGGCTGGAGTTGTGACAGGCAGCCAGGGCCACGGGCGGCTACGCTCTACCCCTTCTATTTATTCAGCTAGCTAATCTGAATTGTTCAATTCCATTTCGAGAGTGAGATCATCTGTGGTAGTAGCACTAGACATCCTCCAGGCATGTGAGTAAAACTAGCAGCAGTTCAGCGGACAGGATGAATGAATGGTAGCCAGCTCGGATGTCTGGGGGACAGTGATTCGCCTACATGTTATGAATGCTGGCGTACCTCAACGAATACATTATGAACAGTTTAGTTTGTGCCTTCAACTCGTTGCCCATAGGAAGACGTTACTTGGATATAACCTAATGGAATATCTTTAGAACAATTCCAAATGACACAAAACTTATATGGGTGTGTAAAATATGATGTAATAACGTAAAATAAAGGGCCCAATGTAAAAAAAAAAAAAAAAAAACGGCCTTTAAGTGGGAGACACCACGCTTAAAAATGTGCAAAACCCCCGAGGGTCAGAGACTCTCACACCACAGTCTCCTAAAATCCTGTGGGAAACACTGAACCCCCTAGGGGTCGCGGACCCCCTGTTGAAGACCTCTGGTGTAGATTTACCCTGAGGTTCTGGTGTCTATCCTCTTTCGGCCACCTCTCAGTATAGATTGGTTATTGCCTGGCCACCCTTATAAAAATTTTCTGGCCATGGCCCCCCATCTAGCTCCGCCCCTGACCAGGATCATCAGTCTGACAGCCCCAAACACCAGAGTTTACCAAGGCCAATCACAACCAGAGGATCACTCACAATGCATCAGTAACAAACATCCTTCACTTTCAGTCTGATGGCTCAGATCAGGATCAGCTGGTTCTCTCTCTGGATCAAAACAAACTTTGCCCCTTCTTGTGAAAACCTTCATTCCATTTTAATCTGTTTACCATGTATATCTAGAAGATAAACACGCGTCATGTGAGACAACGAGCCTTTCCCCAGTCTCATACACACTCACATACACAGCAGCTGGACTCTTATCAAGGCATAACTCACTGTGACGATGTGAGCTTAGAATGCTAATGAGTCTAAGTTAGCAGCAGGCTACATGGCCTTGTTGTTTGGATAACCTGCGCAGCTCACTGACAGCAGCGCCCGGAGCTGACACCTGTTAAAGAGGCAGGGTCTCTGGGCTCAGCGCGGTCAGCTGGAGCTCTTCCTGGATTCTTTACCTTTCTCACGCCTTTGTAGATGTAAAAGTAAAGCTCCCGGCCCACATTGAAACAGATCCTGTCGCCGTTGCCGGACTGGTCGTTCACATTGACGAAGGAGACCTTGACCGGGTTGGAGCCCTGCGAGTTGAAAGGCACCCTGTTCGGGCGGCTGTATTCGGAGTGAGTGAGGAGCTTGTAGACGCCTTCCCTTGTGGTGAACTGGGTTTTAATTTCGTTCGTCTCCTTCCCTCCTCCCTCCGCCGCCATCTTGGAAATTGGCGTTCATCCTTGTCCCTGCCCCGGATGTTACACACGCGCGTAGAAGCCGTCATCCATGCGTGCAGGGAGACTGGATTAGAGAGAGGGCAAATGGTAGATATATAATAACGTACATATTATTCTTAATGACTCATGTAATATGCATTAAACAAATATTTATACAATGAGAGATTAAAGTAATACTCCGCCTAAAGGTGTAATTTCAAAGGTAATGTTGTAAATTAGTCTATATTAAAAAGGGGTTTTCAAATAATAAATAATTAAAAAATGAATACAAATCTGAAAAGTGTGGCGTGTCTGTGGCTATGGGTTAATGAGGCATCATTAACCCATAGCCTGAAGCTTCCGCAAATTGCCAAACTATTGATACTGTCTCACAGAATACTGACACCTGCTGGACATTTAAAGACACTACAGGCAGCATATTTGATAGACTAAATTGAATTGATTTGATGACCTAGTGCAATGATGTAATTTATGTTATTGTAGGTCATATTATATTATTACATATCTATGTTTAAATTGAAAATATCTTTGATATTTGTAAATGCAGCCAATCAATAATGTGAACATATAACGTGAGTATTTAGGGGAAAATCATCATTCACCCTGCACACACACTCTTCTCCCTCCTGCCCTCTGGAAGGCGTTACAGAAGCCTGTGGACCAGAACCACCAGGCACCGGAACAGCTTCTTTCCCACAGCTGTCACGCTGAACGCCTCCTGACACAACTATAATGACTGTACCCCCCCACCCCCCATACAATATTAACATATGGCCTGTCCTCACACTCACACACATACCATGGACTGTTCCCCTCACACACATACACAATCTGTATACTATCTGTATATAATCTGTAAATCTTATCTGCCATTATTTATCTTGTATTATAAACCCGCTAATACATATATAATCCTTTTCCTATAATTCCTGTATATTCTGTATAATCTGTATAATCTGTGCATGTAGCTCCCATATTTATATTTATACACAACTTTTTACAGTCCCTAACTATTACTTTTCGCTTGTACATATAATCCTGTAATAATATTGATATCACTTCTGGATAGATGCAAACCACATTTCGTTGCTTTGTAGTCGTGACAGTGCAATGACAATAAAGTTGAACTCTATTCTATTCTAAATGTGAATGAGGATGCTTGTGGACTATGTTTTTAAATCGCAATTTTAAACAATAAGTACTGTAAAAACAGTATATAAACTAAGAGTCAATTTGAAAATGACTTTAATTCAGATAAGTTGAGTGATGACTGAGACACAATGACACAATGAGAAAATAAAAATAAAAACGCAACAGCAGAAACGTCCCTATACCTTTTAGTCTGCTCAAAAATTCTTTATAATTTAAATTTTTCATCAGATGCATCATGTGGACAGATGCATTTTTAAACACAGTTTAGTTTGTCAGTCAGTTTGAAACAACTCCTGTATCGGTCACATGACTTTCTTGAAACGACAAGCGCACCGATACAGTGTTTTGCTCTAAGGGCTCGACGCATGCACTGAAGATCAGTGTTGGTGGACCCAACACTACGTGTCTGTATTCACTCCTCTTTTCTATTTCTAATGAAATATAATGGAATATACACTGCCTTTTATAGGTAAACTAGAATCTGTATTTTATAAATACAGTGATGGAAGGCCTCTGTGGTTTATTGGAAATCATTAATGGGGGTGGGGGGTGGGGGGCATCGTAAAGACCAAGTAACATAGCAGGGGGTAGGGCAACGTAGAAGAGTCTGGTAACTCCAGGGATGATCCAGAGTTTTCTTCCTCAGGAAAAAAAAAATATTGTAGAAGGATTACTCATTAGCAATCCACAAAACAGGTACATAACATTTTAATGTTTGTCTCATGCCGTTAGGGAAATATCTTAGAAAGGTGTTCTGGTCAGATGAGACTAACTTTAAACTTTGCCACTTAAAGAGGGTGTAGAAAAACTAAGAAACTTCTGGAAAAACCCCCCAATAGTGTCAGAAAAACACTGTGGAAATGCTTTTCTTTAGCAGGAAAGGAACCTGGTCAAATCTGATGTTAAGTCGGAGCTAAATAAAAGGGCGATAGAGGATTAAGAAGAAACTGCTACAAAAAATTAAAGTTTTTCAGCTTAACTGTATTGTCCTCTCGGTTAACTGTTGTTCAAGAAGTGATTTATTTTTGCACATCACCCTGTAAGACTTTTGTGAATAGTTTCAAGTTTGTCTAATGCTTAAAGGTGTGCAAAAAAAGAAGAAGAAAAACAAGTACAAATGAACTGGCCTTATAAGGATTGCTCTGATAAAACACCCAAAACCTCTTCAGATTAATCATTCCAATAAAACATTATTGTCAAACATCCTATAACCCATAAACATCTGCATGCATGATAGTTTTCTGTCATAAATGCACATATTATAATAAAGTTTATTAAATCTATCATCATTTTGCAGATTGCAGCAGAACTTCTAGTAAGGTCTCTGCTCTGCTGGAAGCTTTTGGATTGCATAACAGAGCTAATGCACGTGTGATACGCTGCCATCTTCTGGTAAACTCCAAGCATTACTGATTAAAGTGCACTAGACTGTTCTGTGTTACACAATATTAACATTTGCACATTATAGTGTATATTAAGACTAACAAAATTCACTGAGTAGGCCCATAGCACCCATAAGATGATGCACTCTTAATCATACTGATTAACTATGTTTACCATACATAACATGTAAATATTAAAGCTGCCTGTTCCCCTCCAACCTTTTCCAAATAATTTTTGTTTAATGTAAAAATTGTAGTTCCTACTTTAAGATATACTAAGATCAGTTTAAGCCAACACAAATTAGGTAAAAGTAGCTGTTCTAATGTGTTTTCTATCAGTGTTTTTGTACACCTGCAATAGAGTCAAAAGTTGCCCCCATCTGGAGCTGTTGATTTTTCTTTAGATTCTATAGTCAAAAACTTAGGTTCGTACAATAATTTTAAAGGTATTTTCTTTTCTTCTTTTTTTTTATTTATGATGATTTATTCTGAGTTGTAGTTCCAAATGTGGCCTGACTGCTCAGGATTGGCATGCATACAAACTTGTCTAAAAGTGCACATTCTGTATGATCAACAAAATAATATAAAATAATATACCTGTCTGTCTGTCTGTCTGTCTCTCTGTCTCTCTGTCTGTCTGTCTTACAATAAAACAAAACATTATTTATTGCTTATATGTGTGAAGATGTGTGATTCTATCTCTTAAACTATGAATAAACCGTCTGATATGCACAGAAAGATATAAGGTGTTCCCATCTCCTGAAAACATTTTACACACCAAAAACCAAAAGTGCTTGCTAAATGTTCCTATATTTGCAAATTCATGGATACTCCGGAGCAGGTGAAAGCAAGAGCAACGCGCAGCTGTGACATGTTGGGGGGTATGGGACTAACAGGCCGACGCTATCAGGGAGGCACTCACTTTGAGTGGCAGGCACTCCTTGTGACTCTGCTGCCCTATATGGGCACAGTAACTTTAGGGCTCTCTCTTTCCCTGACTCCCCCTACCTTCCCGGCCTTTCCCCAACAGTTGTGAACGTATTTTCTAGAAGCTTCCAACGGGGAGCTTCGAGAAGCCACCCCTAAAGTATAAAAAGACGCAAGCATGGCCTGGTGGTCTGCATAGAGTCAAAGGACGCTCAAGCGAACACGCCTGAAGACAGACTTAACTGCTAACAGGAGCAGCAGTGAAGCACAGCCTTGAAACCTTTCAAGAGGAAGATACAAGAAAAGCAGTCTATCTGACGATCGACCTGAAAAAGAGTCAGAGATTTTTCTCAAGGTAAGACTGAAAGAACGATACAACATGAGAATGGCTTTAATTACATTTATAAAGAATTAAAACTCAAAGGAAGTTAAATATATCGCACAATTTCAGTTTCATTTCCCAATTAAAAGGCAGAAGGACTTTTTTTGCCATCAGTATCTTTATAGAACTGCACATGGCATGCAGGGTGACCCTGACCCAGAGAGCAGCTGCTAGAAGGCAGCTGCAGGATTGTTCATAAGAAACTGTCTGCATGGCACAAGCAGTAAAATTCTATTAATTCATATTATAACATTATTTGCGTTCAGCTACTACTTTCTTCGGCAAAATAGTTTTAGATTATAAGTTTAGAGGTTAAAAAGCACTAGTACCTCACTTCGCCACCAAACATTTGACTGATGGCTTGAGCATGCGTTCATGTGACCAGCCACTTTGTGTGAGCCATGTGGCCATCTGGAAGAGAATCCATTATAAAATGCATTTTTACACTAAAGATCGCCCCTGTTTTTAGATGCCTGAGAACGCTGGACACGTTATGGAGGAGGAAGTGGAGACCTTTGCTTTCCAGGCTGAGATCGCTCAGCTTATGTCCCTCATTATTAACACCTTCTACTCAAATAAAGAAATCTTTCTTCGTGAGCTAATCTCCAACTCCTCAGATGTAAGAAAACTGAATACTCTCAAATAATTAATTTTGACCCTCACTTTCATTGTATGACTGAACTCAACTAAGATTTGATTATTTCCTCCTCTGCTCAGGCCTTGGACAAAATCAGATATGAGAGCTTGACAGATCCCAGCAGACTTGAAAGTTGCAAGGAGCTGAAGATTGAAATCAGGCCCGACCTGCACGCTCGCACCCTGACCATTACAGACACGGGCATCGGCATGACCAAGGCCGACTTAATCAACAACCTGGGCACCATCGCCAAGTCTGGCACCAAGGCCTTCATGGAGGCTCTGCAGGCAGGAGCTGACATCTCTATGATTGGTCAGTTCGGTGTGGGTTTCTATTCTGCATACCTGGTAGCTGAGAAGGTCACAGTGATCACAAAGCACAACGATGATGAGCAGTACGTTTGGGAGTCTGCTGCGGGTGGCTCATTTACAGTCAAGCCCGACAATGGTATGACATAATATCCTATTGAATTTACTTTTATTAAATGGTGTAAACAAACAGAGCCTAACCTTATTTTAATTGGTGTTTTTAGGAGAGCCTCTGGGCAGAGGCACAAAAGTTATCCTTCACCTCAAAGAAGACCAGACAGAATATTGTGAGGAAAAACGCGTCAAGGAAGTAGTCAAGAAGCACTCCCAGTTCATTGGCTACCCTATTACACTTTTTGTAAGTAATCATTCCCGAATCTAAGATATTGATAACAACAATTAAAAATGTAAATTTAAAAATAAATGCCAGGCAAATAGGTCATAAAATGTCTGATCTGTTTAAGGTGGAGAAGACAAGAGAGAAGGAAGTGGACCTTGAGGAGGGAGAAAAGGAAGAGGAAGTCGAAAAAGATGCTGCAGAGAACAAAGACAAACCAAAAATCGAGGATGTGGGGTCAGACGAGGATGAAGACTCCAAGGATGGCAAGAACAAGAGGAAGAAGAAGGTCAAGGAGAAGTACATTGATGCTCAGGAGCTGAACAAGACTAAGCCCATCTGGACCCGCAACCCAGATGACATCACCAATGAAGAGTATGGAGAGTTTTACAAGAGTCTCACCAATGACTGGGAGGATCACCAGGCTGTCAAGGTAACATGCTGATGATAATACTCCAACATCATCAATCATTACTAATAATTGATATTATGTTGCCCTAATTAAAAATGTACATTATATTTCTCAACTGCAGCATTTCTCAGTGGAAGGCCAGCTGGAGTTCCGTGCTTTGCTCTTTGTACCAAGGAGAGCTGCCTTTGACCTTTTTGAAAACAAGAGAAAGAGAAACAACATCAAGCTGTATGTGCGAAGGGTTTTCATCATGGACAACTGTGAAGAGTTGATCCCTGAGTATCTCAGTAAGTAAGCATGTTTACTGGCATAATCAGTTATCTCTGTCTTTAAAGACGGATATTTTGTCTTGCTTTGGGTGTCTGACAACGCCATTTACCTTGTTCCTTAGATTTTATCAAGGGTGTTGTGGACTCTGAGGATCTGCCCCTAAACATCTCCAGAGAGATGCTGCAACAGAGCAAGATCCTGAAGGTGATCAGAAAGAACCTGGTCAAGAAGTGCCTGGAACTTTTTACTGAAATGTCAGAGGACAAGGAAAACTACAAGAAGTTCTATGAGCAGTTCTCCAAAAACATTAAGGTAGGTTCCATTATCTGAGTTAAACTTTCTGGCCTATGTTATATCAATGCAATGAACATGAAGTAATTTATTCTATATTTCAGCTTGGAATCCATGAGGACTCCCAGAATAGAAAGAAGCTGTCAGATCTGCTGCGCTACTACACTTCAGCCTCTGGAGATGAGATGGTTTCCCTCAAAGACTATGTCTCTCGTATGAAGGACAACCAGAAACACATTTATTACATCACTGGTAAGTTCTTATATCATATTGTTAATTCTGCAAACTTGTTAAAAAGTGTGCAATTAAACAAATCCATAAAATCTTCGACAGGTGAGACCAAAGATCAGGTGGCGAACTCTGCTTTTGTGGAGCGTCTTCGCAAAGCTGGCTTGGAGGTCATATACATGATTGAGCCCATTGATGAGTATTGTGTCCAGCAGCTGAAGGAGTATGATGGCAAGAACCTGGTCTCTGTGACCAAGGAAGGCCTGGAACTTCCAGAAGATGATGAGGAGAAGAAGAAGCATGAGGAGCTCAAAAATAGATTTGAGAATCTTTGCAAGATCATGAAAGATATTCTGGACAAAAAGATTGAAAAGGTAACCTCTTCCTGAAATATTATTTATAATCTTCTAGCGACAATGGAGAGCATTGCAATAATATTTCATTTTCTGATCCACAGGTCACAGTCTCCAACCGCTTGGTTGCTTCTCCTTGCTGCATTGTGACCAGCACCTACGGCTGGACGGCAAACATGGAGAGAATCATGAAGTCTCAGGCACTGAGGGACAACTCCACCATGGGATACATGACCGCCAAGAAACATCTTGAGATTAACCCTTTACATCCGATCATCGAGACACTGAGGGAGAAGGCAGAGGCAGACAAGAATGACAAGGCTGTGAAGGACCTAGTCATCCTGCTGTTCGAGACTGCCCTGCTATCCTCTGGTTTTACTCTGGAGGATCCCCAAACTCACGCCAATCGCATCTACAGAATGATCAAACTTGGTCTTGGTAGGTTTTTTTTTTTTTTAAACTGTTTGAATATGATCATATTTAATTTTAAGTGAAATTTTATGAATGACATTTTTTACTAATTACTGTATTTTCATTTGTAGGAATTGATGACGACGATTCTGCAGTTGAGGACCTCATTCAGCCGGCTGATGAAGACATGCCAGTCCTGGAAGGAGATGATGACACATCAAGAATGGAGGAAGTAGACTAAAATACTTGCTAGAATTTTCCAAAAGCTCACCTAGTTTTTATTTTTCTAAGTTAATTTGCTTTCTGGAATGACTTTTTATTTACCATAACTTTTATTTTTCAAAAGTGTCAAATTGTTAAGTTTTTTTTATTTATGCAGACCATAATATTGTTTTAGTCATTTAAATGTCTTTATTTTTGACATTTTGAAAGCTTAAGAGTAATATAAAGTCATTTGTATTTTGACTAATTCCTCTTTTGTAACTGCTGCATTTTATATGTAAAGCTTTCAAATTTCTAATAAAACATATCCGCAAATAAAACTTGCAGTTTTTTCTGTTGCCAGATTTTATCATTTTGCTTGCTTTTTACAAACATAAAAGTGGTTACAAAGATATAGATTACAATAAAAGTAAGTTAGGTTTTATTTTCTCTATTGAAAGTTCTGGAATTTTCAAGGAAGCAAGCATAGTAAATTCTAGTTTCTGCTCCCACGTGCCTTCTTCCCTGGTCAACCCCCTGTTCCGCCTCAACACCGCCCTCCTGCCAAATAAAGAGAGGTAGGCGTGAATACATATTGACTGACATTACAGTCGACCAATCAGCTTGAAGCATCTCTGAGAATTCCAGACGGTTCTGGAAGATCTGAGCCAGGATTTTCTCGAACCATCTGACAGACTACAAAAGCCGCACCGGCACACTTTGCAGGCGGATACCTTTACTCTCAGAGAGGCAGCAGCGCATCGGAGCGAAGAATACGAGTGTATTCCGAAGCTTTCATCACTAATAGGACGAAGGTAAATTAATCTGTTGCATTTATCCTTTTACTTACTTTTCACTTTATCACTCTGGCACAAAAACATAATAGAAATCTGCTTAAATGTGAGAGTTTAACGGTTATTTAACTGATTTTTAAAGACTAAATTTGGGAAGTAAAATTAATTTAGACTGTAGAAATTGCGTGAAGGAGCTGCATTAAAAAGACTTAAAATTCAAGATCCTCCAAGGCTACCTAACCGTTACCTTATCTGGTTTATCTCACGAGACATTCATTCATCTAGTTCTACACTTATTAATAATTAAGGAAATTTATTTAATGCATTTTTTTTTACGACTTGTTAATTATTCCGTAGTGTTGATCAATGCTTCTATTGGCATTGAGGCATAAACTCAGCCTCAGGATGTCATTCATTGAGTCTCTTCCCTGATTTAGGAGGAAGGAGGGGCTGTCTGATGTGGAAGCTGCTCCTCGCATCTTTAGTAGCTTCTAGAACACTGCAGTTCTCCCTAAGTCCTGCAGGAGGCGTCGTTTTTCACAATTAAATAGGCAATGCAAACCACGTGCTCCTGCCTAAGCCTTTTAATTGCATGACTAGGATTTAATAATAAAAAATCATAATCACAAACACCTTTTTGAGTATTTGACTTAAGTTTAGGCTACTGCTTATTTAAATTCTGTTAAAGATGTTAATGTGTAGATACATGGATAAACAGCAGATGATGGATATTACTCAATATAAAAAGTGCTTAAATGCAATCAAAAACATTTTGCATTGTGACTAAAATCAGTTTTTGCCACCTTCATGTAGATGCCTGAACTTCATGACCAACCAATGGAGGAGGAGGCGGAGACCTTTGCATTCCAGGCTGAAATTGCTCAGCTGATGTCCCTCATTATCAACACTTTTTATTCCAACAAAGAGATCTTCCTAAGAGAGCTTATCTCCAACTCCTCTGATGTAAGTTTGACTGACGTTTTCATTCTGAAATGATATGAAGGATATTTATTTTCCCCCTAAATTATGTTAATAATTTTTTTTTCCATCCCTTCAATAGGCCCTGGACAAAATTCGCTATGAAAGCCTTACTGATCCCTCCAAGCTTGAGTCTGGCAAAGACCTTAAAATTGAAATCACGCCCAACAAGGAGGAGCGCACCCTGACTCTCCTCGACACTGGCATTGGCATGACCAAGGCCGACCTGATTAACAATCTCGGCACAATTGCGAAGTCTGGCACCAAGGCTTTTATGGAGGCTCTGCAGGCCGGAGCTGATATCTCCATGATTGGTCAGTTCGGTGTTGGTTTCTACTCTGCGTACCTGGTAGCTGAGAAGGTCACAGTCATCACAAAGCACAACGATGATGAGCAGTACGCCTGGGAATCCTCTGCTGGAGGCTCGTTCACAGTTAGACTAGATAATTGTGAGTAACCTTTCAACAAAGCACAGATGCGCGCTTAGTGGCACTATTGTAACACAAATTAACTGGTATTTCTGTCGTGCAGCTGAACCTCTGGGCCGTGGAACAAAAGTCATCCTGCACCTGAAAGAGGACCAAACAGAATATCTGGAGGAAAGAAGAGTGAAGGAGATCGTGAAGAAGCATTCACAGTTCATTGGCTACCCTATCACACTCTTTGTATGTATCTGCAATATGTTACCGTTAATGATATAACATGCATCCAGCTGTCCCAGGGCAGATGTTCTTACATAAGGACTCATTTTGAAAATCTCTTGCCCATCAGGTGGAGAAGGAGCGGGACAAGGAGGTGAGCGACGATGAGGCAGAGGAGGAGGAGAAGGAAAAGGAGAAGGACAAAGAGAAGGAGGAAGAGAAGGATGAGGACAAACCTGAGATTGAGGATGTTGGCTCAGATGAGGAAGATGACCATGACAAGTCCTCAGATAAAAAGAAAAAGAAGAAGAAGATCAAGGAGAAGTACATTGACCAGGAGGAGCTGAACAAGACGAAACCCCTCTGGACCCGTAACCCAGATGACATCACCAACGAGGAGTACGGCGAGTTCTACAAGAGCCTCACCAACGACTGGGAGGACCACCTGGCTGTTAAAGTATGCACTCTGTCATGTCTTTAGGTCAGTAAAGGATTTGTCCCTTTTTATTCTTCATTAAACTAACCTGCTGCATTATATCCCATGCAGCATTTCTCTGTTGAGGGGCAGCTGGAGTTCCGCGCTCTGCTCTTCGTGCCTCGCCGCGCCCCGTTCGACCTGTTTGAAAACAAGAAGAAGAAGAATAACATCAAGCTGTATGTGCGCAGGGTGTTCATCATGGACAACTGTGACGAGCTCATCCCAGAATATCTCAGTAAGAAATGTTTTTATTATCGCAGACCTGCTTTAGATGCCAGTGACTCACCTAGTAGCTGGAATGATTCAGACATTAAAACAAAATTGTCTTCCTTATCAGATTTCATCAGGGGTGTTGTGGACTCTGAGGATCTGCCCCTAAACATCTCCAGAGAGATGCTGCAGCAGAGCAAGATCCTGAAGGTGATCAGAAAGAACCTGGTCAAGAAGTGCCTTGAGCTGTTCACAGAGCTGTCTGAGGACAAGGACAACTACAAGAAGTTCTACGAGCAGTTCTCCAAGAACATTAAGGTACCTGTCCATGTGTTTAAATAAGTCTTTCTTAATCAAAGCGTATCATTTGAAGTTTAAATGTTTTTAAGTGACTGATGCTGACAGTTGGACTGATTTCTTACAGCTTGGAATCCATGAGGACTCTCAGAATAGAAAGAAGCTGTCTGAGCTGCTGAGATATTACACCTCTGCATCCGGAGATGAGATGGTCTCCCTCAAAGACTATGTCACACGTATGAAGGACAACCAGAAACATATCTACTACATCACAGGTAAGATTCTTTCTCTGCATGTAACTTCAATGCTTTAGATTTCTAATGCTATAGAAATATTAATTTTCTTGTCCTACATTCTTGTAGGGGAAACTAAGGACCAAGTAGCCAACTCTGCCTTTGTGGAGCGTCTGCGTAAAGCTGGCCTGGAGGTCATCTACATGATTGAGCCCATCGATGAGTATTGTGTCCAGCAGCTGAAGGAGTTTGAGGGCAAAAACTTGGTATCGGTAACAAAGGAGGGTCTTGAGCTGCCTGAGGATGAGGAAGAGAAGAAGAAGCAGGAGGAGAAGAAGGCTCAGTTTGAGAACCTCTGCAAGATCATGAAGGATATCTTGGAGAAGAAGGTGGAGAAGGTGAGCTTTAAGATGCCAAAATCAAACTTTGTGTTTGATTAGGCTTATGTTTATAATTCAGACACTCAATGTTCTTTCGTCCCCCTCCCAGGTCACAGTCTCCAACCGCTTGGTTTCTTCTCCCTGCTGCATCGTGACCAGCACCTACGGTTGGACCGCCAACATGGAGAGGATTATGAAGGCTCAGGCACTGAGGGACAACTCTACAATGGGTTACATGGCTGCCAAGAAACACCTTGAGATCAACCCTGACCATCCCATCATGGAGACGCTGCGTCAAAAGGCAGAAGCAGACAAAAATGACAAGTCTGTGAAGGATCTGGTGATCCTTCTGTTCGAGACTGCTCTACTATCCTCAGGCTTCACACTGGAGGACCCCCAGACACACGCCAACCGCATCTACAGGATGATCAAGCTTGGTCTTGGTAGGGATCATTAAATCAATCCACCAGTTTTAATTGGAAGAAATTATTTAACTTATGTCAGTGGATAATGAATGTCTGCTGTTCCTCTTCCAGGTATTGATGAGGATGATGTGACATCAGAAGATGCCACTCCTGCTCCCACTGAAGATATGCCTCCTCTTGAAGGTGATGATGACTCCTCAAGAATGGAGGAAGTGGATTAAGCTCCATTTGCCACTAGTGTTAAAATTAGTAAATTGTACAGTTTAAAGCTTAATGCTGTAAATGAGCTTGGAATGTCTCCGGTTGTCCTGTTTCTGTTCACATGGACCTCAGTTCAGATCATTCCTTTAAGATGTTGCTTTCCAGTTGTCAGTGACTTTTTTCTTTTTTTTATTGATCCACTGCATTTGTGTTTTGTATTTATTGACATTCCAAATGTTCTTGAATGTAAATATCTCAAGGTTGATACTGTTATTTGGAACAGTTTGGCACATAAATAAAAAAAGGAAATGCACTGCAATGTTTGGTTATTTTGACTCCACTGAAATCATTAAGCTTCTTAAATCTACACAAACAAATCTACTGGGCAAAAACTAGTGCTAGAGATAAATTTTGTTTTCAGTGTCTACAGTTAAACACATGCTAAGAAATTAAAGCATAAAAATGTGACCAAGGTTTCCGTCATTAGGAAATAGATTTACACATGTTTTCAATAGACTTGGTTTACTAAAGAGAAAGTTAGCTTTTTTTTTTTTTTTTAGGCCAAATGACTTGATTTTATATTTTAAAAGGTTAAAGCTGATTTTCAGAAGGAATGTGGCCAGTTTTGAGAATATTGCACAGATTAAATTAAAGCAAAACTAAAATCTTAGTACCATATCTGGACAGAATCAATTTATGTAATAAACTAGTAAGAAATTTGGGAGTGTATTCCAATGTTTTCAAAACATGCACACTATTTTCATAGTTTTGAGATCTAATAAATTAGACAGTTTTTACTTCAATTGTGTTAGCAGTATGCTCTTAAATGAATGCTGGATAAACTTGCATTTTTATTGGTCTTCCCAGTTTGTTAAATGAAAAAGGACAGAGCTGTAAAAGGTGTTGGTATCAAAATTGAGGTTTACGAGATATTTAATTTATAATAGCAATGTTTTGACATTACTTTAATTGCTCAATACGCAATTTATTAAGAGTCAACTAAGTTAAGGCCAAAAAGAATTATTGCAAATGTATACATATATTTAATGAATAAAATAGAATAGAAAATCCCTTTACTGTCCTGCAATGGGGAAATTGTGGCATTATAACAGCAAACGATTATAGCAAAAGTGGTCACAAAAATGTGGACCTTAAAAAATTAAAAAAATATATAAAATACTGTACTGCACAGTGTTTTTACAATATAAATACAGTGCATATGAAGAATAATCAGTCTACTTCTGTGGATATCTTTACAGTAATGGATGTGTGAAAATAGCAGCAAACACCAGAGATGTACAGGTGCTGGTCATAAAA